GTGGTAGCGGTCGGCTGTTCTTGTTGTCGAGCGCCGTAGCGGTGATAGCAGCAGCGACTGTTGTTGCCGTGGCACTCAGTCGCTTGGATCGTCTTGTTCTTCACTGGTGGAATTGCAAAATTTCGGAAATTCGCTCTAGTTCAGACTGTTACCGATCGGATTCGACAATGGCGCTGTAGTCATTTGCCGACGTTCGCAATGGCACTCGCTCGTTGGCTGATGCTGTTGCTTGCCGACAGTAGCACACTCTTGTTTTTCACAGTAGTAGTAGCAGCAGCGGTAGTTGTCATTCGATTGTTTGATCGTTGACTCCCTCCTCCTGCAGTTGACTGTTGGCGGAATTCGAAAATTCCACGGTTTGCCGATGGACGAATGTTCTTCCCTCGGCTCTTCGAGTGCTTGCACTCTTCAGGGCCTGTCAGTGACAGTATAGTAGCCCACTTCTGGGTATGACAGTCCTTCCGTAGGACCTGTCGTTGTCGAGTAAACGACCTGGTAAGATGGCTTGTTGCGGCGGAATTTTTCTTCGCACCTCTCTTCTAGTAGCCTATTTCGGTGGCTCTCTTGTTGAGGATAGGAACTCTCCCACGGAAGTACCTCTGTGGTAATTCCTCTTCTTGTTGGAACTTGTTATCTAGTTCCTCTTCGTGGCAACACTCCTGGTGTTCTGTCGCTCCTCTTCGTTTGACACAACTTGTCGTTCGTGTCACTCCTGTAGGCTCGGTGCGTCCGTACAGTAGCCTCTGCTCCGTACCGTACAGAGCCTTGCTCCGTTCCGGTTGGACTTGTCGTGGTAGCTAGCTAGATAGCTTGGCTGCCACTCCTGTAGTTGATTTTCGTATTGGCGCTGCACCTAGCTAGCAGTCATACAATGGCTGTTTCCGCAGCTCAAATCTTGATGTTCCTGCTCACTTCTGTGAGTTTGGTTCCTTGATGTCGAGTTCACTCTTGTGAGCTCGCTGCCAGCTCACTTGAGCTGGATGTTCGTACTCCGTTCGCTCACTCCTGTGGGCTTGCTTTCAGCTCACTCCTGTGAGCTTGCTTCCTTGATCCGGAGCTCACTCCACCCGTGGAAGCTTCCTGATCTTCAATCGGTCGTAACTCAATCAGTTCTTGTTGAATTCATTTCATTCAAGCAATAGAGTGGTGTAGTTAGTGATGCGCTTTCGTGTGGTATGCTTCGGTTAGGCTGATTCCGGTTTGGTCGTCTTCTGATCGGCCGATTTCTCCGGTGTCGCTCAATGGGAATTCGTGATTGCGGAATTTCGCTTGTTGAGCTGTTCTGGTAGCCCTTATAGTGGGGCTATACACTATCTTGGCTGTACCGTTTGGAGTTACCTTATAGCCATGAACTTGGATATCGTGTAATATAGGACGAAGTCAATATCGATATATCACCATGGCGGTGATCTCGAATTCGAGATGATCTTCTTGGAAATAGTGTTGGTTTCTAGTAACACTCTAGCTTAGTAAAGGTAAAATACTGTTTTACTGTTAAGCTATTTCCAAGAAGTGATCTTTCTCCATGTATTTCTGGGATTGATTCAACTTCAAAGGATATAGTGAAGGGGGTGACCATATAGATCAGTTAAACTCCCATGTATGTAACTAGAGAATAGATATAGATATCCCCTATAACTAGATTGGGATAAACGACTAATTTGTATTGAGGTGTCTGTAATACAACCTCAACAAGTACGTTGATGAAATCCTGGAAGCCTTCGAGAAGGCATCGCCAGAGGAAGGGGGCACGAAAACTAGAAGTAGTGCAGCCCCGAAAGACCTATTCACAGTAGACGAATCCTGCAAGAAGCTCCCAACGAGCAAGGCAGACACCTTTCACAGCCTGGTGGCTAAGGTGTTATTCGCTACGAAGAGAGCCCGACCAGACACAGGTACGGCGATATCGTTCTTACGATAGAGTCAAGGAACCAGATAGGCACGATTGGATAAACTAGTCCACCTCATGCAGTACATTAGAGACTAGAAAACTACCATTAGTTCTCAAAGCCGACGAAGTGGCATATTGAAATGTATGTTGATGGTTCTTTCGGAGTCCATCCAAACATGAGGGGTCATACCGGAGGCGGTTTACCATGGGCACCGGTTACCATTATCGACTTCGACGAAACAGAAGTTGAACACGAGAAGCTCAACTGAGGTGAACTCGTAGCAGTTATGACCTGATGCCATCGATCCTTTGGACGAGGCAGTTCCTTCGGAGCAAGGCTATGTAGTTAAAGAAACTATAGTCTATCAGAACAACAAGAGTGCCATTCTTCTAGAGAAGAACGGCAAAGCTTCTAGTAGTAAACGAACGAAGCACATCAACATTAGGTACTTCTTTGTGAGCGACAGAGTCGCAAAGAAGGGAGATCAGTGTGGACTGGTGCCAACTGATGATATGGTTGCGGACTTCTGGACGAAGCCGAACCAAGGTCGACTGTTCAAACAGAAGTGGACAGTTGATGGGTGTTGTGGAACACTCAGAGCCAGGGCACTCAGAAGGAGGGTCACGGTCGGACAAGAAGGTCCGTTCAAAAGAAGGAGCGCTAAGCGCAGTAAGTAAGTAAGCATGGTCGACGACTAGGACAAGCTCGACGACCACAGGAGTGTGTTGGGGATTCGCGATTAGGGATTCAACCCCTGTACCTCTGTACTAGAATTTCACAGTAGAAATACAGAGCCCACCCACTTTTTCAGTAGTATCTCAATAGCAACAGTAAACTAGAAGAGAGCTTAGAGCAACTAACAGGCGGCACTGCCTGGCCGATTCTTGGCGGCAGGTTGTCGTGGCATGATGTACCGCTCTCGCTCTCGCTTCCAATCTTTGGGTGGGTGTGGCCAATCTGCTGTGGTATCGATTACACAACAGACAAGTCTTCCTTGCTTGTTGTTGTTAAAACGAAGGATACGAGAGGGAAGAAGTGGAACGAGAGGGAACGAGCCGTTGGATGTGGCTCTGACTCCGAACAGTCAAGCCGTGACTGATTCCTCCCTCGTGTCTCAAAGACCTCGACTTTAACGTACAAAGCGGGAGAAGGAGATCGCGGAGCCCTCTGGCTAGCTACTACTCAGTAGAGTCTTGTAACCATATGATCTTGCTACCCAAAATCTTGCCATTAGTCTAGTCTAGCTAGGAAGACATACGATCTCAGCTCTCTGCAATCTCGCTACCGCAATGCCGTACCGGTAGCGGTTCTGGTACGACGCAGGCAGCTTCGTGCATACCGTACCCGGCCAAGGGCAACGTGCACGGATGTAGGAATATCCATGGGTGAGCTTTGAACCCAGCATCTAGAAGAGGACTGGGTCCTGTAGGTATTGGTATACGCCGTGGCCCTCAGCCACAAAGGCAATAGTATTGTTCGCCCGGATGTTTCGAACACAGCCATTCAAACGTCTTCCCTGATCGTGGATCAGCAGACCAACAATGGTACCAATCACGACAATTGATCTTGTTCCGTACAGCCTGCCCACGCAAAACCGTCCGACAGATACCACTACTCCTAATCCAAGGACCAGGAACTTCGATAGAACAGTACCGCAGCCAACGAGACTGCATGCCTTTGGTCATGCTGGTGCCGAAGTTGCTTCACGGAAGATGACATCACCGCTGTCACTGCTGAGGACTGAGAAGTACATTTCGCTTCCGCATGCCGAGGGAAAGGCCTTGATACTTTTGACAGCAATGATTGCAGCAACGGATCAGAACAAAACAAGCAACCATGGCCATCTGGGCCTTTGCCGAGGCTGAGCAAGCCTGCACGGTTATCGAGAAATGCCCGGGCCACACTTTCTCCGTTTGTCCGTCGAGTGAGCACCACATGCACCTGAGCTCCGTTCTCGTTCCAGCGTTCTAGCTAGCGAAGGGTGGATTGCGTACACAATGAGAGGAGGTTTTGATCCTTAGAACCAACGAGCTAGGACCTTGAGAAGAACTCGAAACCAAACAGGAATCTTCCGTTGCATTATCGGAACGACAGAGAATGTAATTTGCTTTGTCCTGTTGGCATTTTACATGGTATGCCCCCAGTTGACCAGCATCTCGGTGGGCGACGACAACCTCTTGCCCTTTAGCTACCGGTACGGTACCGGTAGCTGATACGGTCGTCCCGGTCAATCTCCCAGTGCGCCATAATACGAAATGCGGCTGTTCTGGGTACCATTGCATGTCGTCGCCGAAGTGAACAACTGAACCTGTACAAGCTTTCGTTTGCTATACTTTTTGAATTGTCATTGATTCTCTATGCAGTGGCAGATGCATTTGCTCTGAGTTCTTCCATCCAGCTGATTCCACAGGGCGTGCCTTCACTTTTTGGTTATACCCGTGCACCCAAGATTCCATTTCAGCAGGGACCTTGATTTCATTCATGACGGTAACAGGAGAATCCCCATCCTCACTCCCTGTGGAAGCTGCCAAGACACGCTTCCAGGCAGACCTGCTGTCACGGAGTGGATGCCGATCAACATACGTATGGAATTTGGATTCTGAAAGGAGAACATTTGAGCCCCCTCGGCACTTCAAGTCGTGATGGGAAGACGAAGGAAAGACGAACTTCGTTCCAGCGTTCCAGCTGGAAATCCAGATTAAGCTGGCAAGGTGGCAATCGGATTGGAGCTTCCGCCCCTCAGAACGAGCTCCGAGTCACCGCTCAGGAAATGGAAACGTTGAGAGAATTGGGATCTTCTGGACCATGCAGGGTACCGTACTTCTTGAACCAACTCCAGAGCAAGCATCAATGCTCGACCCGAGGCAAAACGAAAGAGAATGATGATTATCAAGCGAAGGGAGAAGAGGTTGAATCATTCCATCATTTCATTTCGCCTGCACATGATGCATCAAAATGGCCACATCAGTGAGGCACCAGACCGCGTTTTTAAACTCTCCCAATCGAACGTGGCATTTTGACGCGATGCCTTCATCCACTAAATGATTACATGTAGCCAGAGAGAATGGCCTACTTTGGTCAGGCACGCCTTATTTGCAGGGTGGATGTACGGTGTAGATAATCTTACGTAGTTTAGGTTGCTAGAGATGTATGGTCAAATAAACTGAGTCTCTTGCGCGTGAGAACCTTTGTGCTGACACAACCATCCATCTTAAGGATTGGAAGCTTTGTACCACAACCAGCCACAGATGACGGACTGGGTCTGGGCAGCGGCCACACCGGTAATGCGCCAAAATGGGTTGTTTTGATTACAATATCCCAGCCTGTAGACGAATCGGAATCCGACCCACGACATCACCGCGGCTCGGATCCAAGCAGCATCAGCCCCGGCAGCAGCCGCCGCAACGGCACTTGGGAACAGAATGCAGAAGGACTCGATATGATTCTGATGGATCCTGTTCGCTTGGACAACTTCGAATGGATTTTGGCCACTGGCAGCAGCAGCGGCTGGAGAGAAAGAAGCCTTGGTTGAAGTCGATCGGGCGGCGGCTCCCAGGAAGAACTCGGCAGCGAACAAGATACTGGCGAAACCCAATGATTGCAACGTCGCCAGAACGGAATCCACAGCGTCGTTACCACTGCTGGCGTGAGAACCAGACATTATTCTGGACTCTACCAATGCATATGGTACACCAACACCCAACGAGAAACCAAGCAGAGGAATCACAGGAGAGGGAAGGGGACCGCCCTTGTAGTCGTTCATTTTGTCGACGGGAGAGTCGGATTTGTTCGTCATGTTGGCTACTTCAGGTCAGTGATGTTCAAACCGAGTAACTATAGCATGTGATGCCAGATTTGTGTGCCTGGCCCCGGAGTTGATGTTCTTGTACCAGTAGTTACCCAACCGGAGTCGGGTTGTTCTGTGTTGTTCATCCGAAAAGATATGGCGACGCAGAACTCCGCCTTCACCTCTGTCAAGAGACTTGATGCCGAGTGAGAAAAAGATCCGTCTGCTGGCAAGATCCAGCAGAGCTGTCAATTATGCTTGAGGAGGCCCAATGCATCACTACCGGGGACCGGGACAACAGCAGCCGGCAGGTTCGTCACGAAGAACTTGCTATTACCTTCTAAAGGCAATGTGAGTTGGCTTTCCAACCGTTCCTTTCAACTAAACTTCTAATGATAACTCAGCTTTATGTATGTATGTACGGTCTAGATTAAAATAAAGACTTTCGCGAATGTTCCTCCTGGCAGGTCCTGATCGGCTCCAATGCTCGCTGTCATCAAGCCCCAAAACAACACTCAACGTTCTAGGCTGCAATGGCACTGCTGTTGTCGCTCACTGCGCCCACATCAACGGCAGGATTGCCTCCCGATCCTCGAGGTGCAGTACCAGCACGAGAAACCCTGTCCAAATCGACTCCTTCTAGGGGTGACTTGCAATCCATCATGCTGAAATCCTTCAGGAATGCATGCTGGTACAAGGCAGCCTCCAAAGCATCAATGTCCCTGTCCAGACCTTGGACGACGATTTCCTTCAAATGCAACACCTTCAAACCCTTGGCATTCTTGACCAGTGTCGTCAAAGCTGTCGCCCTCAGGAGCGAGTTTGCCAACGTGACAACTTGGAGGTTTGGCAGCTTGCTGACGGCCTCGAGGAGGGTGCATCGGTCTTTTCCGTAGGCGCAGCCAAGAAAGTCATCTGTGAACTTGACGGTGTGAATCGAAGTATTGGAGGAAAGCGCATTGACCAACTCGTCAACGTCCTCGTAGAAGTCGTCCGGGATGTCCTTCAATGACAAGATGTCAATCTCACTGTTCTGTACCTTGGTAATGATTGAGTGAACCATGATGACAAGACTTGTAGTTGGCTGGTTAGTAGTGGCAAGAAGTAGTTTCAGACTGAGCAAATGCAAGTTAGATTGCTGGCAAGATAAATTATGAGATTGCTAGCTAGCGAGTCCACAACCCACTCAAGGCTCAAGACGGAGAGAAGGGGTGGGCAAGCTACCGTACCAGTACGGGAGTGGATACCGTAGTAGGCTAAGATGGTGCCGGATTGCAAGGGAAGAAAAAGACCGTTGCTTGCTTCTTGAAGTCCTCCAAAGCGAAGAGTGCCAAGGTCATGATGCCATCAATGAGAATCTATCAATAGCTAGAGCTCCATTCAGATTCCATTATTTTCCATGCGCATTTCATGGCATTGTGGCATTTGCTTGGACTGAGTACTGTAGTCTAGCGTCTAGCCGACCGAAGCAGTCTTGGACGACGAACACAAAAGCGAAGGCAAAGGGAAATCCGCGACCATGGTTGACGGCGAGAGTTATTCAATCCGAAGGCCACCTTTTTTGAAAAGCTACTCACACACGGGGAATGTCCCGAAGGAAGCTTTGCAGAGTTTGTCGTCATGATTGTGTGTTTGCATGTTTGCATGTTTGCATGTTTGCATCCAAAAGCAAACTAAAGCAGCGAACCGTACCGGTACTGTTTTCTGGGGGGCCATTGCTGAAAGAAGGCATGACTGTATGTACGGATACATTATCCCGCTGAGGAGTAGGCCCCAATGAGAACTTGAACAGCATCCATGCGCATGCTGATACGGTACTTGAAAGCAAGGTACATGTAATTTCCAGGGGACTTCAAAGTTTCAGATGCTGTCTTAGGTGGATTGCCTTCAATTGCTTTGCGCTAAGAAAACAGCCCATGCAGGCCAGGCCTACACTGGAGACTGGAGCGTACGGTAGGAGCAATACGTGTCTTCCGGTACCGGTACAGCGCGTCGCCACCAGCCAAAAGTCACCCAGTAGTTGTAGCCTGCACGCGATGGAGGAGCTATGGAGGTTTGTTTGCAGAGGGGAGTAAGAAGTATCTGGCTAGCTATCTAGCTCCAGCTACTTAGCGCATCTGCTTGCAGCATCGTCTTGACTGGCTGTACCGAAACAGCAATGACTTTTGCTGTTGCTTGCACTAAATGCTCTTGGAATCTTCCGTGCCCCAATGGGAACTCAAGACTTGGTTGCCTTCTTTGCTTGTTGAAGCATGAAGGTTTGGGGTTCTTCACTCTGGCTTCAAGCTTCTTTCAAGGTCGTCTACCAAAGGAAGCATTATGGTGATAAGAGCTACTACCGGTAGGGACAAAAACTCTAGCTAGCTCCCGATGGCCTGGCTGGCTGACAGCAGGCTGATACCTACCGTACAATGTTGCACATTGGTGACACTTGTTGATCCTTTCCCCATGCTTCTTGAATACAATGGAATGGAATGGAATGGAATGGAATTGGATCAAATCGGTATGTAGCATGCATGGCACTAATGTGCAGGGTGGTGACTGGATGAGGATACGGTGCAGCCAACAAAGCAAGTGCGCAGCAGGGCCAGTTTTCTTCTTTTCATCGAGTGCGTTTAGTTTCTGCACCGTGCGGTGCTCGAAGCCCTGCCTTTCTCTGGGTACGCACCAGTTTCGAGATTATGGGGGGGTTAGGCAGCAGCGCGGGGGAGGGAAAAGAAAAAAGAAAGGGAGAGGGTTATCAGTTGGATTCCCAATTCCGCCGTTGAGAGCCTGCCGGCATGCGAGTGAGCAGTAAACGGTCATCGGGAGTAGAGATCACTTATAGAAAAGGGGGGGAGATGGCAATGACTACTCTTATCCTTTAATTCTTTTCCCCTACGACATCCGAAGAACAAGAAAATACGTCAGAATATATGTCAACGTTCAGTCAATTCAAATCTTTCAACGCATACCTCGCTCCTCGCTGGCTCATCCTTCCCATTCCTTTGCTCGCACCAGACCTTCCCATTATTTTCGAAAATCAACCGAAACTCTCACCGAACCTACAACAACAACAACACTCGCTGACAGCAACAGCCGAAGGGATACGACGATTAGAAGACCATCGACGACGACGCGACGCTAGCATCGGCAACAAGCACAAGACCAAACAGGAGTCTGCAGTCAACGACGGCAGCAACGCGACGGCAGCAACGCGACGACACAACGAGAGCGACGACGGGAAGAGTTTCGTTGGTAGAATCCACTAGGATTACCGGCAAATCAACACAATGAGGATCGGAACTAGTCGAAGCTTCTCCAAGTGGCTGATAAGTGTTAACAGATACCCATTGAATGAGATGAGGGCCACAAGGAATGGATTCACTTGCAAGTACATCATTGTGGAAGAACCAGAGCCCCATCTCACCAACTACCAGAAGTTTCATTGTTTGGGCGCGAATGAAATAGCAGTGGCGAATCTTGAGGAGTTGATATGCCAAGCCTCTTCCTCCTGATATGACAGGCATCATGGACTACATGTTTGAATTGGGACTACAGCAACATCCAGAATGGTACAACCATGTTGTCTCCACCCTTTCTGAAATGCTGGAGGGGCCAGAACGATGTGAAAGGAAGGACATCTTCATTGAGTGCATCTATTGGTTAGTGAAGGAAATGATTACCAAGAGCTATGACTTCTACTCCAATGAAGGACAGATTGTGATGGATGCTTGGCATGGGTATTGTTCGCACTGGTATGACTACAACAATCAAATCTCCTTCAAGATATTGACTTTGATGAGTGAGACTTTTGTTGATGATTGCATGGAAGACATTCACAACCTTGGATTCTTGCAACCCCACCATGCTGTCCATTGTGGAACCTTACTGTAAGTTAATGGCTACATTAGAAATGAATTTGATGCATCTAAATCTTATTTGTTTTTGTTATCCACCATATCCAGTGAATCTAGATTGGCAATGAGCATCATGGGGTGGTCTTCCTCTCCTATGCGTCAACCAGTGGCAGTATCTGTGACAGCAGCCATTTGGTGGTGGTGGCTGGAAAGGAGATGGCAGTATTGGTTGGAATTGGCGCATTTGCATGGCGAGTTGCATCATTTGAATCTGTTGTTGCTGGTATAGAATCAAATTACCAACATAAGCATTTGTTGTTTGTGCCACAGCTGCTTGAGTTGGTGGTGGAGGTGGGGGTGGTGGCTCGATTGCTGGTGGAGGTGGTGGCTGGATTGCTGGTGGACTCGGTGGTGGCTCGATTGCTGGTGGACGTGGTGTTCCAGTGCAAGCTGCACAAAGACAACAATCATTGGGTGCATACTTCTGCCGCTGTGGTTTGAATGAAACAATGAACTCTGAAAAGAACCTCTCTCCATTATCATGTGGCAATGGCTCTGCATTAGGAAATGGTTCATTGAGACCCACAGCCACTGCTAGCTCATTGAGGTAAGCCAACTCTGAATGGTTCCAGTATGGAACAACCTTTTCCCATCCAGCTGGAATTGACCTCTTTCTTCCAGACTGATTCTTGACAGGAGGCTCTCTTGTGGTCGAATGTTGAGGTTGTATCTGGCTGTTCCAGCAAGGTTGAGTGCATCAGCAAGAGACCTCCTCATACCACTATTGGCAAAATGGGCAAACTTGTCATGGAATGCTTCCAGTTTTGATTCTCCTCTCCTTGACAGATACTCTGGGAGGCTGTGCTTGGAATTGGGTGATGGTAGGATGGTGTCATACATGTCTCCAAAGGCAGTGGATCAGCCAAGTGAGCGGCTTTGTCAACACAGTTCTCTACTGCTGGCTTGGTATCAGAAGTGAACAAGGTAAAGTTCTTCATTGGATCCAGTCGACCCTGTCCCGGCTGGCTACCATCACTGGCAGTCACCTTGTATCTGCAGAACCACTGCTGCAACTTCTGTCTCATGTTCTCTGGTCTCTCATCTTCTTCCTTAGATATTTGGAGTACCTAGCTCGAAGACCTTGGAGCTTGCAATCTGAGATCTCTGCCATGGAGTAGTGCTTGCCATTGGAGGACAAGAGGCCATGTTTCAATGCATGGAGAAGTTTCTCATATTCATCTGGTGAGTACAATACAGGCAATCCAAGAGGTCCGTAATGCTTGAGAGTAATAATGTGTCCTTTCCTCAAAGTAGACAGGATCCTCTTCTCATATTGAAACAGGCCAAGCTTCCTCATTCCTGGAAAGAGACTCCCAGTAGTCATTCTTGTTGGGCCAGTGTCGCTGTAATGGCAGCGGTTGAAGGTGCTCCTCCTTGCTAGCTGCATGGCAGCATGGGAGAAGTGGATGGTCTTGGTGGTGGGAACAGAACTGCAGAAGCAATCTCTCCAGTCTCAGTAGCAGCATCCCAAACAGCACCAGCACCAAGACTCTTGGAGTAGTTCTTGACCGCCTGAAAGGTATGGCCTTGGCAGAAATTCCTTTGTTGCACTTGACATTTGGATCTCTCTTGTGTGCCTTTGTTGTCACTAATCCTCCATGGATTCCTGTTTGAAGCACAGGCAGCATCATAGATGTCACGGATGGTGTCACCCAAGAGGAGGAAACTGTCTTATGTAAGTTCCATCCTTTTGAAGAAAGGGATCTGGTTCTGTTTGACTCCTTCCCAATAGGAGAAGTATGACGTCATGGCTCTAATGAAGTCTCTGTTGATTGCATGTAGATGAGCCGGCTGCAGAGTTCTCCATTGCCATAGGTTAACATGATGGATTCGAAAGTCTCAGTGGCAGTTCGCTCCAAGTGACATGCCTTGTTTGGAAGGGCATACTTTGACTCCACAGGATAGAGGAGAGCAGCATGCTGTGGGATTGTGCACAAGACTTCAGCACCTGTTGG